AACCAGCGGTAACCTTATTCTTCGCCTAGCATCCTGCAGCATGCCGGCGCCCACTACATAGCGGATGTTTTGGGGGGTGGAGAAGGTGGAGCTCTCGTTCGAGACGTCTTTGCAACGAAAAAAACCTTGCATTCTGGGTCGCGTTGGGCCACGCCGGACCCAGGTCAGCGATCTCTGTCTTGCACTCGCCACTAGTGCCGGGGCCCCCCTGGAGCCCGCTGGACAGCGTGCCCCGGCCTAGTCCAGGATCTTCCCCGCTGAGGTGGGGCAAGAAAATGAAGGGAACGATGGGGGAGGGAAGGGGACAGGGCATGCGCCGTGCGTTGGGCCGAGAGACGCAGGCCGAAGACGCGTTCACGCATGACGAGAGATTCTCTTTTTGAGGCGCCAGGCGACGACAAGCGGTTGGCGAGAGAGCTTCGGCGCCGCCTGACGAAAAGCGTCCAGGCAAGATGCTTGCAGCAACCGGGGGTGAGGAGACAACTATTCGTGTTGGGTGCGAGCCGCGTGCAGGGAGGGTTGATGGGGCCCGTGAAACAACGCGCGACCTGTCCGTGACAGTTCGTAACCAGACTTCTTGTGCCCCGTAGAATCTTAACATCGGCGGACTTGGATTCCGCGGATCCGACCTCCTTCCGCGTCTCCAGCGCGGCGGCGCTGGGCAGCGATGCCACCCAAGAGGGGAGGACGGCACCCGGTCGGCGTTGGGTGAGGCCGCGGCCGGACGCCCCTGGCGGAATCGCCAATCCGCCAGCGTCACCCGGCGCTGGCGGTTGACGCTGGCGTCTGGCGTGTCAGGGCGCCGACCGAAACACGTGGGGCACCATTCCCCCTTTCAGGAGTGGTGGGTCGGGAAAAAAACATTAAAAAAAAAAACGAGCTGCCACCGCGGTCGCATCCGGCGCGCTATGGCGAACGGGCGCGCCGCGCCGCGCGTCGCCCCCCCTCCCCCCCACCACAGGTGGGCCAAAGTTGCGCTGTGGCAAGCAGAGGACAACACCTTGGGCGGACGCCCCACCTCATATTGCCACTGTGAGCAGGCAGGGCGCCGCAGACATGACCGGACACTCGAGATCCCGCCCCGCGGCAAGGCGGCAGAATAGAGACATGAGCGAGAGAGGACCCGACGCGCGGCCGCGCGGCATGCCGGCAAACCCGCGCGGGAATGTGGCCCGCCCGACGGAGCGACGGCGCGCGGCGCGTGATCATGGAGCCGCCCGCCGTCGCACATTGCGGCGCCTGCGGGACACCTCCCCCCGCGGCCGTCATCTTATGAGTTGCAATTACACATTACCACCACTTCGTAAGTCGAATCCGCGTGAAAAGCAGGGCGGGAATCATATCCACAACGTCCTAAAACGGAACCGCGCGGGGGGAATTCGATCCACCGCAACACAATTCCAAACCAAGTTTGGATCCGCACCATTTCAATTGGATCCGCCAAGATTTCTGTCATGCTCTCCGGCGCAGAAGTCGAAGGCACCGTGTTCGGGCCCAAGACGAACACATTTCCGTCCTGGGGATGTAGGGCGCGCCGCGGATGGTTCATCAGAGCCTCGAATCATCAGGGCTTACTCGGGTCAGGGCTGACTCCTTGTTCGGGCCACGGGGGGGTGCGCGGTTCCAGCGATGCCGTCTGAGCGTCGGAATACGCGGTGTCGCGTGTCTATCCGACGCCAGTGGTTAAATTAGTTTTGGCGCAGCCTGATGACCTTGTCAGTTATTGGAGAAGCCTCTGCGCGGGCGCAGTGCGATTGCAGCCCTGCCGCCTTATTCGCGCGCGCGCGTTTGCGCAGCGTGCCAGGTGATGTTTGGCACCGTCCGATGATGCATTCAATTTGCCTGCATTGCGTTTGCGGGCTCGCAATCATGCTTCCGGTCTTTTGAATGTTGCGCCCCTGAACTCACGAGGAAGATGGTGTGTTGCGTGTGTTCTCGGGCGTGGGTGGTGGCAGGTTCAGGGTAGGCGTGGTTTTACTGTTGCTAGTGCGTCGAACCGATGAGGATCATGATGACGATGGCGGTGACGGCGCTGACGATGCGAGGACGAGGAGGATGGGGTGGAGGAGGGGATGATTGAGGCCGGCGAGGGGCATGAAACACATGATGGCGGTGATTGTGCTGACGATGGTGGTTGTGTAATAATTACCATGGCGCGGGCGAGGACAAAAATGGCAATGACGTTTACGATGGGGAAAAGGAAAGGGGGAGGACGACGACGAATAGGATATCTGCCACATATGGCGCCTGCCGCCTGCACTTCCCGAAGGGCCACATGGACCTCATGAGGCCGTCATGCGGCTGTCCTGGGCTCCTGCGGGGTTGTCTTGGGGGTGCCTTGGGCCCCTCTCGGGTCGTTGTGGGGCCCTCTTGGGCTGTCTTGGGGCTCTCGTGGGGCGTTCGCGGCCGTCTGTGGGGTCTCGAGGGGCCGTTGTGGGTCCGCCCAGGGGGGTCCTCTGAGGCAGCCGTGGGTCCCCCCAGAGGCTCTGGACCAGATTGGAATTGTGTTGAATCCGTCCTGTGCTGTCCAGGGGCCCTCTAAGGGTTATTTGAGGCCGTCCTGGAGTTCTCTTGCGGTCTTTTGGAGCCTTCTCGGATCATCGTGGGACCGTCTTGGAGGCCCATTTGGTTATCTTGAGCTGACGGAAGCCCGAGTGGGCGAGAAGGCCACAGTCTACGCAATACATAAAACGGACCATTGATTTTGGCCTCTCCAGGCCTTGCTGGAGGTTCTCGTGGGGCCCTCTTGGGTCGTCTTGGAGGCTTCTCGGGCGTTCTCGGGGCAATATTTGGTCACACGGGGGCCATTTTAATCCGTCTAAGTCGTCTTTGAGGCAAGGCATTTGAGCCATTTTCGCGGTCTTCGTGGCCTGCCTGGGCCGTTTTGGAAGCCATTTGGGACATCCTGGGCGCTTTGGATAGCGCCAGGGAGGCGTCGAAGCATCCAGGGAGCCTCGGGAGGATGGGGGCGATGCATGCGACGCCATGCCAGCCAAAGGGGGGGCTTCTAGAAACGTACCACCCAAACCCTGCCAGACAGAAGCTTGCCACCCAAACCCTGCCAGTTGCAGCGATCGTAGTGCGCCAGCCAGACAGCGACGTTTTGAGACCCCAGAGGGTGAGATTTGTGGAGGTCCTGGGTCCACTCTTCGATCCGACTTACCCCGGATGACGTCTTGGCCCTCCGAGACTCTAGGCCCGCCCAATACATTCCACATGTTTGAAAGCCGAGCTAGCCCGGACGAGCGAATCCCGAGCTAGCCCGGATCTTTTTTGGTTCTTTTGGAGCTCCTATTTCAGACCCCGGCTACCACGAATGAGCGTCTCCAGGGGGTTGCCGAAGCACGTCCCCAGATATGGCAGATTGCTTGTCCGACAAGCCTTGGTGGCAGATCAGAAGAGGTGGGGAGAGGATAGACGCATGACTGCGTGGTCTCCTGGGGCCCCATCGGGGCCTCGGGAAGGCGCCGAGGGGGCACCGCGAGGGCCCTCAGCAGGGGCTTCGCAGCTGTTGCCCTCCAGGCCCAAGGCGAGTCAACCTGTCGGTCCTCCCCTGAGGGCCCCGCCACTTTCACATGAACGGTTGGGCGCACATGAAGCAAGCCCCCCGCCAGACCAGCAATCACCCAGAGCAGCGAGCGGTTGCATGTGTACAGAGTTCTATTCCCCACCCACAGCGTGAGACGGTGATGGGGCAGCGTTGCATTTGAACCCAAATTGTCTTCCTCACCCAGGGCTGCATATCCATTTCCATTGATTGCTGGGCGGTCAGTTCGTCAGGCGCGCGAACTCCTCCTAGACTGCGTTCCAGAGCCCCACAGGGGCCTCTTGGGGCCCTCTTGGGCATGTCGTGGGCCCTCGAGGGGCCTCCTGGGAGCTCAGGAGAGCTTCGGGGGGGCTCTGAAGGGATGCGAGAGGGCGCCCCGACAATGGCATCCAGAAGGACCTCTTGGATGCCACTGTCGGGAAGCTCTCTTGGGGACCCCTTAGGCCTTTCTGGGACGCCTCTTGGTGCTTTCCAGGGACCTCAGGGGAGCGTCGGGGATATCAAAATAGCCGCAAGAGGAACACCCGACACTGGCATCCGGAGAGCTCTCTTGGATGCCACTGTCAAGGAGCTCTCTTGGAATAATATTTGGGCTCTTTGGGAGCCCCGAGAGGGCCCCTAAGTGGATTCCAAGATAGCCCAAAAGCAAGTGGCGTCACTCGACTTGCTCTTGGACCCCCAAGGGGTCCACTTGGGGCCATCCTGGGGGCCGCCTGAGTCCCGCCTGAAGCGCAGTGCAAGCAGTGGGTACACGCGGGCATTCCGAGCAACCTGCGGAACCAGGATGTGCTCCCGAATGCGTCTGGTGAACCACGCCGTGAGGACATGTTGCGCAAAGAGCTACCCCGCAAAACTACACACACGGCACAGGCTAGGCATATGTCCAGTGTCTTGATTTGTCTGGCATGCGCCGCCTCTGGCGACCCCTTGGGCGGGATGACTCTCATGTCCAGGCTCGGGGGGTCCCAGAGCGCAGCGCGCTGGCGCTTGCCGCTTCGGCGGCGCGGCGGCGCGCGCGCGCGCGTCTCGGCGTCGGCAACAGCGCAACGGGCGCCCCGTGTTCACCGCGACGCCGTGCGCGAAACCAGTACTCTGAGCACCTCAAGAGTACCTCCGCAGTAAGACGAGTCGTGTGCAAGATGTGGGCGCAATGCATGAGCGCGCCCAACGTCACAGGCGCGCGGAACAGGTTCCTTCGGGAAGCCGCGTTGGAGGGCCCCTGCGTGCCTTCGGCCGCTGGGGGCCCCATGGCCCTGACCGGACTAGGTCTGTCAACTCGGGCGTTTAGGTTTAAGAGTGATGAGGCCCCGTCGCCAATCTTTAGCTTGCGGCAGTTGAGAGCGTGACAGTGCATCAATCTCGTCTTCCCCATCCCCGACCCACTTCCCCCCTTGTCGGGGCGCGCGGGGGGTGGGTGCGAAGGCCAGGCGGGGCCGCAGCACAGTGCCCGGAGGCGCCGCCGACGCCGGTGACGACAACGTCAACCATCTCGTCGGCGACAATTGCTGCGTCTCACAGGGCTGCGATGGGGAACGGGGGGGTGCGAGGATGAGGCGAAAGAGAAGGAGGAGGAGTTTGGGGGGCGGAGGACCCAGGACGGAGGAAGAGGAGGAGTGGTAGGAGCAGGAGGAGGAGGAAAGGAGGAGTTGGAAGAACAGGCGTAGAAGGGATGCCGGAGCACCCGTGGCGGAGTAAGAGGAGGGAGGGGTGGGGAGAGTGGGGGGAGAAGAGGAGCAAGAGGAGGAGGAGAACGAGGAGGAGGAGGAGGAGGAGGAGGTGCAGGACGCGGGACAGGTGGAGGAGACGGAGGAGTTGAAGCGAGAAGTGGAGATGGAGGATATGGGGAAGCGGGGCGAAAGAAGTGGGAGTGCATTGGAGGAGGGGGAGCAACACGAGGAGGCGCTTGGGCGTTTTTGTTTGTTGAGGGGGTCTGTGATTGGCGTGCTGTTCCATGCGGTCCTGGGCCCCTCTGGGGAGGGGACGGACGAGGTGGGCCAGCAGGCTCACGATTCGACCGCGGTGGCTGCTATGTGCTCTGAGGCTTGTGAGTCGATGCTACGATGAGCTGTGTGTGGCCGAACCTAGCTTCTATGGGGAGCTCCAAAAAGGGCCTCGCCTTCGAGGATCGAAGGAACTGTCATCTCTTCCTCGGCCGAGGGCGGCGGAAGGTCGGCGGAAGTAAAACGAGGCCGCCTCCGCCGGCGGAAGCTCGGCGGAAGGCGGCGGAAGTAAATGATGTGCCCCCAAGAGATAGAACAAGAAACAAAAAAAAAACGTTTTTGAGTTCAGGGGTTCCGAAATCGCCCACATGTCGTGAGACGTTCCCGCAGTGGCTTCGGGGGGGGGGTTCTCGAACCCACCCAAGCCACTCAGGGCACCTGGTGCCCCGCGCGCAAGCCAGCGTTCGACCAGACACAGCCCCCCCCCCTTTCCTGGGCATCCACCCGTGCAGCCCCCCGATCCGCTTGGCCGGCCCCGCGGTGATCCGATAGGGTCAACGGCACCGTAACGGGTACTTACTAACGGGTACTTTGCAATTTTGCCGAAAGTTGCCACTTTAGGGCCTCTTTCTGGCAATGCAGCGTTGCCCGCATCGGGAAGGGTTGGGTTCGCTGGGTCACTAGCCAAAGTACCCGTTACTGGAGTCCCCGTTTGTGGGGCGCTGATAGGGGGGGGAGGGCACGGGCGATGTGCGCCAGCGGGCCCGCGAATCTGCCCGCCCCAGTGGCGGAGGCCACCGCCGCTCCGCCAGGAGCAGGTGCCCGCCGTGCGTGAGCGTGGCCTGCGGGCGCCTCGGCCGCCGACCGAACACCTGGATCTGCGGCGTTTGCTGGTCGTCGTTCTCGCACTCCTCGTTCTTCCGGAGGGGAGAAGACACACAGACACAACGACCCAGGAAAATATGGGAAAATGTGGGGGTTGGGGGGGGGGACAAAAACCAGAAGATGTGGGGAAATGTGGGGAATCCTATTATTTGTGTGTATGTTTCTTTTGTGTGTCCTGGGGCCCCTTCAGTTTTGCCGATCGCCCCCCAACCCCCCCGTGGAGTAGATCTTGGCTATTTCTGGCGCCTGCTTCGAGCAGGTCGAGCCTCCCCCACTGTTGTTGCAAGCAGTCGCGCCAAGCAGAGGTCCAGAGCCAGGCCCCGCCCTCCCCCACCTCCCTTCCGCCCACTGTCGAAACGCCGAGTAAGAGCAAGTTCACCTGCAACGAAGCAGAAAAGGGCTCCCACAACCCACAGGGCAGCCTCAAAATGGGCGGGACCTTGCACGCACGCGTTGCCTTCTTAGGACGCATCGCTGCAGTGCCCCCACGCTTCGGCAGATCTGTGGCCACCTCAGCCGTGGGGCGTGCCGACGTGGCATCTGACATCTGACGTTACAGTGAAGGCCCATGCCAAGAAACATCCTGCTTGCCTCAAGGGTTCCCTGGGTTTCCGGGGTTTCGCTGGTGCTGCTATGGAAGGCGTGACGTTCCCGCGCCCAGAATCTAAGGGACGTCCTGGGGTCTCAGGGTTGGGTTTCTTGTGGAAGGCTTCCTGTGGTCGGGCCCCTACTGTACGACCCGGAAGTCAGGTGCGACGTTCGGGGGGAGGGTAGGCCTTGGGGGACCGCGGGAGAGGCATCGACCCTCAGTCGCCCATTGTCGGAAACCGGAGCATCTACATTACCAGTGGCGGGCTGTTTTTCAGTCCAAGGACTTTTTGAGGGTCGGTGTTGTATTTTTGTTTCCCCGTTTTTTGTTTTTGTTTGGGGGGGGGGTAGTGGAAGATGTATACCTCCAGATCCTGTATACACCAGGACCCGCTTTCCTGCGCGAGTTTCACTGCAAGTCCAGACAAAGCGTCGGTGTATAGAGCTCGGTTCCCTACGCTGATCGCCGATCGGAGCCTGATAGCCCATCCCGCCCAGGAACGCTCGGGTTCGCGATCGGGGGCCTATCGCCGATCTATCGGCGATGTGCCGCCGATTCAAGCTCGATGTTTCCCCCATGAGCTTGTCCCCACCTGTTCGTTGACAATCACTCGTTTGCTTCGTGTTTCTTTTTTTACGTGGGACAGCTGTTTACGATGCCAACGCCAACTTAAGCAATGCGAGAAGTAGGCCATCGCTGGCGAGTGGTTATTATGCCAGTCCCTTGCCACATCTCGAAAGCGCACCGAGGGCATTTAGCGGCTCACCAAAGACGCCGTCGCCCAAATAGCGATGACCACTTGCCGCACTGCGCATCCAGGGTATTTTGAGGCGGCACCGTCACCACAGAGTCGTGTGCGGCAGTGGAGCACTTGACAGGCACGCTGCCCCGCGGCAGGGCGGAGACCTGGCCCAGCGTCTGGAGCCCCAGCCCGGCGAGTGAGTCCGCGAGCGCGTCGCCAGCACGGCTCCCACGGCGCAGAGAAGTTTCGTGTCGTGTCGACGCGGCGGCGACCCCGGCGCAGGCGCTCAAGCCTTGGGCGCCGCCTGTGGTTCGGACTCGGCTGACGCCCGTGCGACAAAAGCAAGCGGGGCCGTCTGCACGGGCACTGGCGCGCAAGCGGCCCGCAAGGTCACGCGTGAGCGCCTCTCTTCTCCGCGCGGTGTGCCGCGCTGGCGGCCCGCGTGTTGGAATCCACTGCCCCTCTGTTCTGAGGCAGTTGCATAGGAGGGGGTACATTGGACAGAGTGTTTACACAGTTTGGAGGAAGTAGTAATTTCAGTATGGGTCGGGCTTGAAGTGCTTCGAAGAAACCGCGCGCACACGAACCGCAAGCATATGGCTATATGCGGACCGAGGACAGTTTTCTTCCCGTCGTCGTCCTCGCCCTTGCTCCGTCCACTTCCCCTTTTACCCTCCTGGATTGTGTCGAAAACGTCAGCGGCTCGGGCGGGGGAGCGCCCCTTTGTTCTTCTTTGCTTCCCTGCTCCACCGTCCGTCGTCCTACCTCGTCTTCTTCTTTTCGATATCCGAGCATAGCGGCGCAACCAAACAGGGGGGAGTGCCAATGCGAACGTCCAGGGCGCACCCCAAACGCGGGTGGCACGGCCGCCGAGCACAGTCGCATCGCTAACACGTAAATATAAAATGTGCATGCGGCAAGGTCCGCCCCTTGCCAGTGCAGCGGTCTGCATGGCGACGCGTGGAGCCTTGATTGTTAAAAAGGTCCATGACATGTGACACCTTTCGTGTTCTCGGATTGCTGCGCGGCCTTTTTTGGGGTCCTTCGGGGCCGTTTCGGCACACTTTCGGGCCGTTGGGGGCCGCTGTGATGCCGCATTTCACCGTGGCCGCCCTGGGCCAGGGAGACGTCGATTTGCAGTTCCTCCGGGGGCGTCCCTGGCCGGGGATGTGTGTATTCGCATTCCCCCCTATTTGGGCATGCCAACTTCGGTTCTGGGTTGGCAAGTCGGGGTGCCCTCGAGGTGGCGAACGTTTATTTTTGTTCGTCGAATTGCGCAAATCAAAGCGCGATCTGCGTACACAGCTGGTGTCTTCAACTGTGTATATCCGTGCGTGGGTTCACTGTTTACACTGGTCGTGGTGTGATCTAAGTACACAAACCTTGTTCCCATCTGTGTATTTGTACAATGCCCTTCGCGGGTGTTGTAACTTGGCGGGAACTTTCAAGTTTATCTTTCGGCTGGCCCAGGGGGGCGTCGTACGCGGTCGAGAAACACAGTTCGAGTCTCCAACTGTGCATCTGCTGCGCGCCGCTCGCCGGACTGGTCACTGGGTGGGAGTTTCCGCGGATATTTTGGCTGGTCCAAGAGGGGGCCGTGGTCTGGGAACGCAAAGGCGCGGGGGGGGGATGGTGGGCTATGGGAGGGAAGGGGTTCGATATGAGGGGTGGCGAAGGGGCCGGGGATGCAAGGGACAGAACGAAAGGGGAAGAAATGGGCCCATGAGGAGTGGCATCGGACGACGGGGGAACTCATATGGCGGAGGAGGACGACGAGGAATGGCATGAACTGGCATATGGGGGGGTTGACAATGTGGATGGGGGGCATGGTGAAGACGGCGGGTTGTCGGAGGGGCACGAGGAGGGTGGGAGGAGGCGGGGCTGGACAAGACCTTTTGGCATCATGGCATAATCGCCATGGCGATCCGAGCCATCGGATAGGACGCAACCATCGAAAGGTCAAGCGGCCCTCGCGGTCTCAGATGCGAGCGCGCGCCCGTCGTCGCGGCACGAGTCCTGCCGTGAGCCGGACGGCGCGGCGGTCGGCAGTGGCCCACGTCCCGCTGGCGAGCTCGCCTTGCGCGCGATGTTGTTTCGCAATCCACACTGCGAGTGCGTAGACATGGATATGTTCGCTGCTCGTGAGTTCGCAAACGATTTTTCCCCCCCAGCCCCCCGCGTTCCGACGAATGATGAAGCCGTTCAGAAATGGAAGGGGTACTTGGGATACACCCCCAGAGGGGGGGCTATTCGGAAGCACCCCTATCGATGACGGACGGCCCTCCCCATCGTATATCCCAGGCTTGGGCCCCAGCTTCGTGGCCCACCCGAAGACCCCACGAGGCTTGGGACGGGGGTCGACGTGCCCAGACCCCCGACGTCATGATTTCGTTGTGCCGCGACCCCCGGCAGTCCCGACCCAATGCCCTGGGACCGGCTTTTCATCCTGAGCTGTTTTTGCTCTCGGCCCCGAGGGCCGGTGAAGGCCCCCCAGGGACCGAACATAACGAAAATCTGCTACTCGTAAGAGGGACCCTTCGCCGGACTGACCTTCGGTGCGGGCTCATCGGGGCTCTTCCGATCGTGGAGCGCGATGCGAAAGCAGCTGGTTGCGCGCCATCTTGCGCCCCTTCAGTCCGCGCACCAACGGCCACTCGTGCTCAAGGTCAGTCTTGCGCGTAGTCGACGAAAGCCTCCCGCCGTGATTTGCTCGCGACTCCTGCTGTGAACGTGGGCTCCCTCGCCTGCGCTCCCGCGGCCTCGGCTGGCCGCGAGGCGAGCGGCGAGGGTCCAGGGCCGCCCGGCGGCCCCGCGGGGCGCCGGGCGGAGGGGGCGGGGGCGCCAGGCCGCGGGGGGGGTTGGCAGGCGGGAGGGCCACGAGGAGGAGGAGGAGGAGGAGGAGGAGGAGGACTAGGAGGAAAAGGGAGAGGAGGACTAGGATGAGGAGGACTAGGAGGAGGAGGAGGAGGAAAGGGAGGTAGGATGAGGAGTACTGAAGGAGGAGGCGGAGGAGAAGGAGGAGGACTAGGAGGACTAGGAGGAAAAAGGGGCGAAGGACTAGGATGAGGAGGCCTGGGAGGAGGAGGAGGAGCAGGAGCAGGAGGAGGAGGAGGAGGAGGAGGAGGACTAGGAGGAAAGGGAGAGGAGGACTAGGATGAGGAGGACTAGGAGGAGGAGGAGGAGGAGGAAAGGGAGGTAGGATGAGGAGTAGAAGGAGGAGGCGGAGGAGAAGGAGGAGGACTAGGAGGACTAGGAGGAAAAAGGGGCGAAGGACTAGGATGAGGAGGCCTGGGAGGAGGAGGAGGAGCAGGAGGAGGAGGAGGAGGAGGAGGAGGACTAGGAGGAAAAGGGAGAGGAGGACTAGGATGAGGAGGACTAGGAGGAGGAGGAGGAGGAAAAGGAGGTAGATGAGGAGTAAAGAAAGGAGGAGGCGGAGGAGGAGGAGGAGGTGACCTAGGAGGAGGGACTAGGAGGAAAAAGGGGCGAAGGACTAGGAATGAGGGGTGGCCGGCCTGGAGAGAGGACGAGGAGCAGGAGGAGGAGGAGGAGGAGGGGGAGGTAGGAACTAGAGGAAAAGGGAGAGGAGGACTAGGATGAAGGAGGACTAGGAGGAGGAGGAGGAGGAGGAGGAGGAGGAGGAGGAAAGGGAGGTAGGATGAGGAGTAGAAGGAGGAGGCGGAGGAGAAGGCGGAGGACTAGGAGGACTAGGAGGAAAAAGGGGCGAAGGACTAGGATGAGGAGGCCTGGGAGGAGGAGGAGGAGCAGGAGGAGGAGGAGGAGGAGGAGGAGGAGGAGCGGAGGAGGAGCAGGAGGAGGAGTAGGAAGTGGAGGAGGAAAGCCGGGCCGAAGAGGAGGAGGAGGAGGAGGAGGAGGAGGAGCGAAGAGCGAGGAGCGAGGAGGAGGAGGAGGAGGAGGAGGAGGAGGGCCAGCGCAAGCCAAAGATGCACCAGCGATGCCGCAAAACACCCTCCTCTCGAGTCCCCTCCTCATGCAGTCGGACCGAGTTACAGGATCGAGGTCGGTTCGGGGAGGGTCGCCTTGTGTTCTTCGTGGTTGTTGGATGCTCTTGCGCATCCTGGGCAGGGGGCCCTTTGATGTTTTGTTTCGTTTGGACCCCCCTCTTTGTTAATTCAAGCTGTGTGCGGCCCGCTTAGCTTCGACCGGAAGAGGTGCGCTCTCGACCCGCGAATCAAAAACAATGTTGTTTGGTTTGGCCGACGGAAGGTCTCATGTTCTTGAGTAAGTAGGTCCAACCGTAATCCTCTACAGGGTTTCCTTTTCACTTCAATAAGCGCCCCCTTAGAAAGGCCAGCACAGTTGGGCCTGCCACTGTGGCGAGGGAACCGCTTTGAAAAGGAACCTCCTTGTTGGAGCAATCCCAGGAGCGCTCGAAACGCTGATGATGCAGAGCAGGGAGATGTCAAGCGCAATCCCCGTGTCGAAGAAGGTCCGCCCCCCATCCGTGAACTGTTGCACAAGCCTTACAGTCGGGTCGCTGAAGAAGGAACCCTTTTCGTTGGCGAGGGGCTTCGTGTTCTTTCAGTGTTTCACAGCTTGCCTCAGGTTTTCCTTGTGTTTTTGATGGGAAATCGGAGTTTAACTTATGGAAAAAAGGGGCCTCGTTCCTCATTTAGGGTTTCTTAGGTCAACGCCCCGACTGTACTCTTTTGGTCACGCATTCAGATCTCGAGCGACGGGTCCATGGTGAAACAAACGCAGTGGATCCGTGCAGCGCTACCTGCGTTCAAGCTTCGGGTGTCCAAACGCAATGAAGTTCCTCAGGAGGGGAAAAATCACACACAGACAAAAGTGATCGTCGATTCCCAGGATCATATGGGAAACTATGGGGAGTGGGGGGGAAGACGAAAACCCAGAAACATAGGGAATCCACTTATTTGTGTGTGTATTTATTTGTGTGTCCCAGGGCCCCTTCAGTTCCATGCGAGAGCTCCGGTTTGCAAAAACCGCAGTCCTCCATCCTGCTAGACGCTGTCTGAAAAGAGGGATGCGCTCGGCGCAGAAGCGAGAGCCCCCTTTTGAACACGACGGGCGTCGAATAGTTGAAACGGTTGCGGGGCCGTTGGAGGAATGCCCGCCGCGCTTGGGCGAGAGCCCCATTTTGAGCACGGACCGCCCTCCATCCGTGGATCCACTGCAAACCGTCAGCACGAGGGCGCGCGTCGCCGGAGCGAGAGCTCCTTCTGAGAAGGGTCCGCCCGTCTATCCGTGAGATCGTCGCAGACTTTGCGGGCGATGTGCCCGGCGCTAAGGCCATGGCCACGTGTACAACGTGTTCGACCTCCACCCGTGAAGTTGTTTATGCCTTCGGGACGAAGGTGCGTGGCGTGAAAGCGACGTTGACAAAGCCCCTTTCCGTCCGTGAAGCTGCTGCAAACATGTTGGGCCAATTCGCGCGGCTCTAAGGCAAGAGCCTCATTTGAAAACGAGCCGCCCTCCATCCTTGAAGCCGTCGCAGACTTCAAGACGAATGTGCGCGGCGCCACAGCGAGAACTCCATTTTGAAAACGCCTCCCTCCATCGGCGACGCCGATGCTAACGCTATAACCACATTCTGAAAACGGCCTGCTTCCATCCGTGAAGCTGCTGCTAATGTTTAAGACGAACGAGGGTGGCGCTACATGAAGAGTTCTATGTTGAAAACGACCAACGTTTCATTTGGGATCACTGGGTGATAAGTTCCAGGCTCTGCCGCAACACGGCCACGTCCTGTCGCAAGAATCATGGGTGATGTGGAAGTCTTAGGCGAAGCGCCCAGCCCGCCATACCAGCACGTCGGGGGGTGCGACATAGGGGGTTTCTTGTACGGAAGAGGGATGGAGGATGAGGACGAATAGGGGGGAGAGGACGAGGATGGGGTGGAGGAGGACAAGGACAAGGAAGGGGAGCGGGAGGATGAAGGCGCGGGAGAAGGGACGAGCGAGGAGAGAGGACGAGAACGAGGAGGACATCGGAAGGCCGAGGACGAGGACAGGAGGACGAGGGCGCGGAGGTGGCCGATGAGGAGGAGGAGGAGGAGGAGGAGGAGGCACGTGGAGGAGGAGGAGGAGGAACGAGGTGGCGAGGAGGAGGAGGAGGAGTGGGGGCGAGGACGAGCGATTCGGGGGCCGAAGGGGCAGCGAAGTGATGCCCCCCCGCCACAGACCCGAGCCGCAGGCCACGACCTCCACGCCGAGGTCCCTCGCCTCTGCGGGCGGAGGGGCGAAGGTGGCCATATGAGGCGCCGCGGGCCCCCGTGTTGCCGCCGGCGGTGCTCGTGCCGTCTCGGCGGCGAGCCGGCGTTACAAAGTCTCACCTCTGTCAGCATCGTCCGGCCGATCCCCCTCTTCCTCCTTCTTTTTCTTCTCCTCCTCCTCCTCCTCCTCCTCCTCCTCCTCCTCGTCCTCCTCCCTCCTCTTCCCTCCTCTTCCCTCCTCCTCCTCCTCCTCCTCCTCCTCCTCCTCATCTCCTCCTCCTCCTCCTCCTCCTCCTCCGCCTCCTCCTCCTCCTCCTCCTAGGTGGGTTGAGAGGGGGCTCGATTCGAAGGGGCGCAGCCCTCCCGAGCCAGCAGATGCCGTGGGTCCGCTGCAAGTGGGCGGCCTCCGCCGAGGCGGACCGGGCCCCGTGGCGCCGCAGGCCGCACCCCGAGCCAGCCGCGAGGGGCCGCCAGGTGGTGGAGGCGGCGGTCGGCGCAGCGGTGGCAGCGGCAGCGAGGGCGTGGGCAGCGGCAGCGGCAGTGGCCATCCAGGCAGGGCAGCGGCAGCGGCAGCGGCAGCGAGGGCGAGGACGAGGGCGGTGGCAGCGGCAGTGGCCATCCAGGCGCCCGCGGCGGCAATCCCGTCGAAGGCGCGCCCGACTCCCCGCCCAAGTCGGGCGCCGCAGCTGGCGATCATGGACGGGACCATCTCGCCCCCGCCGGTCGTTTGGGCCCTGCAGTCCCAGCCGATCTCGACGCGGACGAGGCGTAGCCGTTCTCGTTGGGCAAGGTCGGCCCGAGGCAGAGCACGCCTCACGGCGCGGTCCAGCAGCGGCTCGGCGGTGAGGGACAGGGAGCAGGTGAAGCAGAAGGCTCCGCCAGCAGACTGGCGCAGTGCGAGGCCGCCGGTGCGCAGCCCAGTTGTGAAGCGGAGCAAGAAGGACAGGAAGGATAAGAAGGGCAGGAGGCGCCGCAGGAGCAGCAGCCCAGTGGATGTCCACTGATCTGCCCGATGGCGGACTCTGACGACCAAGACGTCAACGACCAGGGGATCGATGATTCGGCCCAGTGGCACGAGGACAGCGGCGACGACTGCGACGGCACGGCGCTGGTGTAGGGTGTCGACGCTCAAACCGTCGAGAAGAACATCAAGGTGGGCACGGACTGGGAGGCAGTATTCCAGCTCAACTAGGCGCGTGCGAGGGCAAGTGCTACGCAGGGGCAGCGCTACTCGGAGTGGAGGCTCAGGAACGACGTGGTCCTGGGGGCAGTGCCTGCCAAGAAGTTTGTGGAGATTTCGCCTTCCCGAAGCTTGGGGCGGTCGGAGAGTTTGGGGATGGCGTCGACAAGGCAACGAACGGGAAGGACGACAAGGAGGAGCACACCAATGAGCCAATCGGAGGTCAGGGGATGCGAGTGCTGCACGCCGACGGCCTCGTAGACTTCCTGGAGCAGGTGGGCAAGAAGGAGGTGAGCCAGATCCGGAAGGACGAGACCACCGACGTGAAGGAGGACGACGGCGTCGGCGTTACGACGTTATCGCAGAATTTGGTCGTAAGCGTGGGCAGCGAGGGGCACGAGCACGAGGAAGACGGCAAGATGGAGGAGCAGGAAGCCCTTGAGAAACTCATGATTGCGCTGGTGGCGCTGCACGGCACGTACGGGATTGTAGCTGCAGGCGACGCCTTGGACCAGCTGAAGGCGCTCCAGGAGTGCGACTCGAAGGAGGGGATTGGCTAAGGCGGGCCCCAGGTCGCCTTCGGCAGTCCTGAAGGCCTGAGGGCCCTGGGGGGGACTTCAGCTTCGGGGGTATCCTGCGAAGTTCCTGGCCCTCTTGCGGTTTTGTTTTTGGGTCCCTTCGGGGACCGCCCGTCCGTCTCGCAGGATCCCCCGGGGGAGCTGCGGTCCTCCCTGGGGCGGGGCGGGCTCGGCGGCCGCGCGCCGAGCAGGTGTGCGGAGAAGACCTGGCATCGCCATCGCACTCAGCACCCTCCTCCTCCTCCTCCTCCTCCTCCTCCTCCTCCTCCTCCTCCTCCTCCTCCTCCTTCCTCCCTCCTCAGGGCCAGTTGCTCAGCCTGGACAGGCAGGACCGCCCCGCCGAGGTTTCGAATGCAGGTCATAGCATTCTTAGCCTTCCCCTGGTGCGAGTTCCCTCCTTCCTCCCTCCTCCGCCTCCTCCACCTCCTCCTCCGCCTCCCTCCTCCTCCTCCTCCTCCTCCTCCTCCTCCTCCTCCTCCTCCTCCTCCTCCTCCCTCGTCCTCCTCCCTCCCTCTCTTCCTCCTCCTCCTCCTCCTCCTCCTCCTCTTCCTCCTCCTCCTCCGCCCCCCTTCTCCTCTTCTTGCTCCCTCTGCTCCTTCTTCTCCCCCGTCCTCCGTCGTCTTCCTCCACGACCCCCCGTTGCACGGCCCACTGGGCCACGCATCCCCGCCATCCCGCCCCCCAGCCTACGGGAACAATCAGTGGCATGAACATGAAAATTCGGAGGTCCGCGCGGACTCCGCGGGTTGGCGCAGGGGCCCCCTGGCGACGCCTCCTGGCGCCGCCCCCGGCGCGCCGGGGAGGGGGGTCGAGCGCAGATCCAAGAAAGCCGCGCGGAGCGCCAAGAGTTTCTGCTTGTGGCGTTCTTCTCCCCCCGAGGGGGCCGCGCATCTCGGCCCCACCGTGCCGACCCCCAGTCGGAGATGCGGGCGGGAACTGCTGGCTGCCGCGTCGGTCGGCGCGTTCTGGCCCACCGCGCTTCGGCGCGGTACCCCATCCACGTTCAAATGCCCGTGCGTGCACGGCCGGAGCGTTTCCGCAACCTCCCGGCCCCGCGCAGCCCACTTCGACACGCTGTTTCCGTTCGCGGTGCATTTAGCGCACCGCCAGGGTAGCCGCCGCGACATGCTGAGCAAAAGTTCCTCCTCCCCCTCCTCCTCCTCCTCCTCCTCCTCCTCCCTACCTCCATCCTCCCTCCTCCTCCTCCTCCTCCTCCTCCTCCTACTCCCTTCCTCATCCCTACTCCCTTCCTCATCCTTCCCTCCCCTCGCTCTAGTATCCCTCCTCCTCCTCCTCGTCCTCCTTCTCCTCTTGTTCCCTCTTCTCCTCCTTCTTCTCCCCCTTCCTCCCCCCGTCCTCTTCCTCCTCCGCGACCCCCCGTTCCCCGGCCCACTGGGCCACGTATCTTCAGCCCCGCCATCCCATTCGCTCCAGGTCGGGTCGGAGTAGATAGGGTCGAAGGATCGCGCGCATCGCCGATGCATCGCCGATGCGGCGCGGTGCGGACGGAGCCCGAGTTTCCCCACGCCGACGTCGCCGATGCGCCGCCGACATTGCCGATGCATCGCCGATGCATCGTCGATACGTCGTCGATACATCGGTGTTGGATTGGCGATGCGGCGCGACCCTTCGACCCTATCTATGCGGACCCCATATGGGAGGCCTCCAACCATCCCGCCTCCCGAGTTCGAGATAGGCCTTTCGAAACCTCAAGACAACAACCCATATCCCCACGTACGGGGGGGACGTTGGCCAGCGTGGCCAACGCCATGCCAAGCGGGATGGGGATCGGTCACGCGACGCACACCTTCCCAGCTGTGCTCGACATTCGTTTTTGTGAATTCAAATGTTGGAACCTTTTTTTCCGGCCCACAGATTTCGAATCCAGGTCGATTCAGTTTGAATCAAGGTCGAGTATAGTCCGATTCAAGCTCGACTGAAGTGCGCCTCGGGTTCGAAGCAAGTCGACGGACGTCCGAGGCATCGACGCACTAGTCGAGCGCGCGGCTCCAGAAATACCTCCAGAGCGAGCATCTCGAGTGTCCCTGCCTTCTCGGTGGCACGCGAGCATTAGAGAGTCTCGCCTTCCCTGCCGGGTGAGAGTCTGCATCGCGCCAGTGTGCCAGGTACGCCGTGCTCAGATTCAGTGGGCGTGCGCTGCGCATCTCCTCTGGTAGGTTTGCTCCCCGCCGCCACCACCATAAGGATGAGGGAGAGGTTGTCCTCCTCCTCTTCCTGCTCCTCCTCCTCTTTTTCCTCCTCGTCCTCCTCCTCCTCTTCCTCCTCCTCATCCTCATCCTCTTCCTCTTTCTCCACCTCCTATCCCCCCTCCAATTTCTAGTTGTGGTGGAAAATAGGCGGACGCGGCCGCTGGGGCCTTCGGTGGAGCTCCCTATGTGGCAACGCACCGTATGAGGAGTGTGCCGAAATGGGCATGCGGCGGGCGGGGCGGACGCATGCGAACGCGGCCACTGGGACCTTCGGTGGAGCTCCCTCTGGGGCCACGAAACGTGTGAGTGGTGTGTCGACATGGGCATGCGATGGGCGGAGAGGACGCATGCGGACGCAGCCGTTGGGGCCTTCGGTGGAGCTCCCTGTGGGGCCACGGAACGTGTGAGGGGTGTGCAGAAATGGGCTTGCTGTAAGCGGGAAGGGTGCATGCGGACCCGGCCACTGGGGCCGTCGGTGGAGTCCCATATGGGGCCACGAAATGTGTGAGGGATGTGTCGAGATGGGCATGCGGTGGGCGGGGAGGACGCATGCGAACGCGGCAACTGGGACCTTCGGTGGAGCTCCCTCTGGGGCCACGTAGTGTGTGAGGGGTGTGCCAAAATGGGCATTCGGTGGGCGGGGAGGGAGCATGCGGACGCGGCCACTGGGGCCGTCGGTGGAGTTCCCCATGGGGCCACGAAATATGCGAGGGGTGTGCCGAAGCGGACATGCGGAGGGCAGAGGCAAGCATGTGGAGGAGGGAGGAGTGGGAGGAGGAGGAGGAGGAGGAGGAGGAGGAGGAGGAGGAGGGAGCAGCGGGATGAGTGAACGCGGGGACCGTCTCTTCAAAACGAGGACCCAATACCACAGGATGGTTGGGGAAAAAAGCAAACACACACGCACACGCACAGCGGTAACAAACAAAGCGTACCTATACGACCATCCTTCGGGTGATAAGGAGGTTCGGGGGGGGGGAACCAACGTCTCACTCGATCGGTCTCACTATCGATCTCAGTATCGATCTCACTATCGGTCTCGCTCGATCGATCTCACTCGATCGATCTCACAATCTGTCTCACTCGATCTATCTCATTCAATCGATCTCACAATTGATCTCACAATCGATCTCACAATCGATCACACAATCGATCTCACATTCGGTCTCGATATCGATCTCACTATCGATATCACAATCGCTCTCACAATCAACGTCATCATCATCATCATCATCACCATCATCATCATCATCATCAACATCAACATCATCACCAACATCGTCATCATCATGAGGGCACCGTCATCATCAACATCATAAACATCATCATCAACGTCAGCACCATCATCGGGACAACATCCTCATCATCATCACCATCATCATCTCATCATCAACATCATCATCATCGGGACAGTCATCGTCATCATCATCAGCAGCACCATCATAATCATCATCATAATCGGGACACCATCATGATCACCATCGTTCTCATCATCAACATTATCATCACTTTCGTCATCATCCTCGGGACACCATCATCATCATGATCATCGCATCATTATCATCATCGACATCATCAACAACAACATCATCATCATTGGGGCACCATTACAATCATGAGCAACATCATCATCAACATCGTCATTAACATTAATATCATCATCGGGACACCATTAGCATCACCATCATCAGCATCACCATCATCATCATCAGCATCATCATCGGGACACCATAATCATCATCAACATCATCATCATCAGCATCATTATCGCCGGGACACCATTTCCATCAACACCATCATCACCAGCATCATCGGAATCATCATCATCATCATCATCGGGACACCATCATCGTCATCATCATCAACATAATCATCATGAGCATCATCATCCTCATCATCGGGACACTATCATCATCATCGATACCATCATCAACATCATCATCTTCATCGGGACAGCATCATCATCATCTCATCATCATCATCATCATCATCATCATCATCATCATCCTCATCCTCATCATCTCATCATCATCCTCGCGGGACACCGCGGGACACCGGCGGGACACCGCGGGACACCGCGGGACACCGCGGGACACCGCGGGACACCAGCGGGACACTGGCGGGACACCGCGGGCCACCGGCCGCCCGGAAGGGAGTCATTTGGTCCGGCCGCGCCTCAGCCACACGGGACACCAGCGGGACACTGGCGGGACACCGCGGGCCCCGGGCCGCCCGGAAGGGAGTCATTTGGTCCGGCCGCGACTCAGTCACAGGAGACTTTCTCTCGCCCGCCCACGCAGCTTCGCCTCGCCCGCACGGCACGCACGAACACGAAACCGAAATCGATTTCCCGGTAGGGGGGCTCTCCGTTCCACTTCGATCTCACCCCCCAACCTCCGATAACACATTGCGTAGAAACGCTGCATAGAAAGCATTGCGCAGACAACGCCGCGTAGAACACAGCATGGAAAACAATGCACTGAACACGTTGCGTGGAAGACAGCGTGGACAAAATATAGTCGAACACTTTGCGTAAAACGCACTGCGTTCAAAACGCGTAGAAACACTGAATTGAAAACGCGGCGCGAAAAAACACTGCGTAGAAGACAGCGTAGAAGACACAGCGTAGAGGACACAGCGTAAATATATGCAGGTGAAGACACACATTGCGTTGAAAACCTCGCGTATAATACATTGCGCATAACACATTGCATAGAACTCTTTCCGCCGAAAACACTGCGTAGAAGACATGACGTACATATACGCAGGTGATGATACCACGTACAGCACACTGCGTAAAACAAGCACCACGTTGATCACACCGCGTAGAAGACAAAACTTAGAAAACACAGCGTGGGTCACATGGCGCAGATTTGATGACTTCAGCCTAAAAATCCCTTTTTCCCCTCTGAAGCGCTTCGCGCGTCAGCGGATGGAGAACCAGCGCGCACTCAAGGAATCTGCGCGCACTTCTGAAAGCTCGCGCTCGTGCCAGCTTTGGGCTCGATGCCTTCTGCTCCGTCGGTGTTCCAGCAGTGCGTGCTGTTCAAGTGGTAGTTCCGGCTGGCCCTGGCGGGCGCGACGCGCTGGTGGCAGATTTGCAGTCGGGGCGACAATGCTCCCTCGATTGCCTCGTGCCCGTGCGTCTTTGCGCCCCTACTCCTCCCTTCCTCCACCCCTCCCTGCGTAGAGACATGCTTTCGTTCCCTGGCGGTGGCGGGCGTCAGCTGGGGGGGAGGGGGAGAGGGGCAGCGGGCCAGCAGTGCCACGGTTCGTGCCCGCGCTGTCTGGGAATGCCCACGTGCGGCTGGTTCCCATACGGCGCCGGCGCAGATCGTGATGTGGCCGTGCGGGGGCGGGGCCGCTCACGGATGCCATCGCGAATGCAGAACAACATGTGTTCGCACAGACTTTCCGCATGGTCAGGATGGGCATTTTCCAAGGATGCCCTTGCAGCCTTGCCCCTTCGGCCCGTCCTTCGTTTTTCGCGTTTTTCGCTGGCCAACCTCGTTCGAAAAATGTCCAGGTGGGCCTCCAAGGCCTTTGCATCCCTATCGCGCCTCCTTATGATACGGGTTGGCTGTAACGCATCCTCGCCGCACCACCAGACGTGCCGGTAACGCCTCCACAATGCAGGCGGCGGCGCGCTTGGAAGGCACGTTGTTCTGGAGGCCGTGCTCTCGTACGGGGGGCGTCCTCGCTGCTTGTTGTCCCGAGGCGTGGCAGCCCCAGCAGGTGCTCTGATGCAGGGTGGGCGGCTTCTTGACCAAAGCTTGGTCTCGCCATGGCGGATCGCGGAATTGGAAGCGCCCAAAGGCTCCAGGGCTCAAGAGACGGGGGTCAATGCCAACGGGGGTTGGCCAGAGCGCCGGATCTTGCAGGATCCTGCATGGCCAGGGCTGCACTGACCCAGGCTCGGATGCAGGATCCCGCAGGATTGTGCACGATCTTGCAGAGCTTGACATACCATGGTTTGGACTGACCCGGGTCAGCAGATCCCCGAAGGTTACCAGGATGGAGAGCATTCTGTATTCTTATTAGTTGTTGACGCTTGAAAAGTCCCCACCAACAGCTTGAAAGCTCCACGAACTGCACGCTTGGCGGGTGGCTTTGCCTCCGGTTGTCTCCAAGAGACTTCCTTATGCCTTGTGTCCCTTCAGCTTGAGATGACACAACGGCTGCTTTTCAAAGCCGTGGTCCCGCAGAGGGGCCCCCTGTCATCAGAATGCTTTGCCTGAGATGCGCGACAGTTGCACGGGTAGAGTGCGGCTCATGCTCGGATTCCCAATCTCGTCTTGGCCCCGCGATGCTGCTGAAAGCAGGGCGGCGGACTCTCACATTCTCACATCTTCTTACGTATCCCGCGGCGCTGTACGTATCCCGCTGGCTTGTCTCTTGATGCACAGGGTGGAAGCGGCGAGGCTCTCACCTGCCAGCCCTGCTACCCTTTCTTTTCTGCCTTCCTTGCCACAGAGCGATGGGGATCTGATCTTCCGTGCTTCCCCAGGCCTCGAACGCTTGCCGGGAACATTGGGAGCATCACCGCTCTGGCCCTCCACTCAGAGCATGCTGGCCTGGCCCAGGCCGCCCTTGCCCTGGTCGAGACCCTGTCTGTGGATGCGGCCTGCCGTTCCAGCCCTGGGCCCCCGAGGACTCTGGAGGAGCCCCACCGCCGGAGCACCACCGCTCTGGCTCCGCGAGAGGGGCCGCGAGCGGGGACACCTTGCTTGATCTCAGTGTTTTCCGCTCCTCCGCCGCCCTCCTCCTCCTCCTCCACCTCCTCCTCCTCCGCCGCCCTCCTCCTCCTCCTCCTCCTCCTTCTCCTCCTCGAGAACGCCTATGAGGAGGTGACGGCCACGCGCAAGCTTCTGGCAGAACAGCAGACACGCCTCATGGAGAGCGCCAACGCGGCGATCGAGGCCGAGCAGGCGGTAGAGGAGATCACGGGCGTCAAGCCAGACACCAAGGTCAAGGAGGCAGCCACGCCGAAAGGCAACCTGGTGGAGACCATCCTGGACTTGGACCTGGAGGACATCGATCGCCTGGGACTCGCCTACGACCTCGACGACGACGACGGTGAGGAGTACGACCAAGACGCACGCGCTGCCGTGGCGGACGTCAAGCGCCAATTCCTCCAGTCGTACAAGGACAACGCCGCGACGTACATGCAGGACTTACGCCAGCACCTACAACAAGCACGAGAGTCTGCACGAAAGAACCGAGAAGAGATACGACAAGCTGCGAAGAAGCGCAAGGCGGAACGCGGAGCGACCACCGTACCGCCACCACAGCCACCACCAGCACAAGACGCTCAGCAACAGACGCAGACACCCATGACACCAAGGACCCCACGGACCGCTTCCAGCGCCAGCAAGGCCAAGGACGAACTCTTCGCGGAGGTGCGCGCCAAGGCCCGCCAGGCCGAGGCAGCGCAGGCCGAGGGGCGTCCTGAGTGAGGGGCACGCAGCTCCCGTCGCCATGCCGACTTTAGCGGCGGAACGCAAAATCTTTGTCGGCAGCTGCGCGGAGTGGGGCACTAAGGTGAAGGAGTTTTTCGCCGACGCAAGAAGCACCAAGCGGTTCGACGCCATCGCCACTCAGGAGACCCACTTGCGCGCTCACGAGATGATGAATGCAGAGAGGGACGTGATGAACATGGGCTACAAGGCCTCCTTCCCGCCAGCACGACAGTCCTCTAGGAGCGAGGGCGGCTCCAACGGAGGCACCTGCGTCGGCATCCTCTCCTACCACCAGAGCGAGTGCTTCCGCGAGCAAGCAGCGGACGGCACGGCATCGACCACGACGGCGGGGCTACTCAACTTGCCACACGGCAGCCCCAACACCACTACTTGGACTGGGTACCCATGTGCTGGCACCTCCGCGGCTTCAGCCTCATGGTGATCAGCGCGTACATAGGCTCCACGGGCAGCTTACATGGGATCAACACAACCAAGCTTGCATCACTGGCTGCGTTTGTGACGAGCTGCCGACGCCCATGGATTGCAGTGGGCGGCTGGAACACCACGCCAGAGCGACTATGGGCATCGGGCTGGCCACAGGCCATGGGTGCGGACATCGCCACCATCCCAGACGGCTACACCTGCTTCACCTTCAGCAGCAAGAAGGGCACTCCCTCGGCTTCGCTCATCGACTACGCGTTGGTCAGCCACGACGCCCGCAAGTACTACGTCGGCCTGGAAACCACTGCAGCACCATGGAAGACCCACGTAGGGCAGACGTTGAGGATGCGGGGCGCCGCCAGACCAGTCACCATCCGACAACTTCAGCTCCCAGCCCACTTCACACACACACACCCGCCCCTTCAAAGCCGCCCGACCCCAACAGCCAGCGGCAGAGGGCAAAGCGACAGCGACAGACGCAAGTTTCAGACGGGACGCAGCTGAGCTCCGACGGCCAGCGCCAGCAGGTACCAGACACGCCCGACTTCAACACCCAGTACTCCACGGACCTTACGAAGGAAATGAACATGAGATGGTCAGAGCTCGGTAACTCAGCATCGAGACCGCCAACACCGACTACACTCAACAACATGGACAACAAAGAGTACGACCCGATGAGTGACATCGATCAGGACTGCTACTACGACACAGGCACCAACCAGCCCTTCGACGAGCCGCCCTGCGACTACGAGGACCAGGAGGCCGACCAGGCGCTGGAGATGATACCGAGCGCACCTGGGAAGGCGGACAGGACACCGTCTCAGGAGCCCTCCCTTCCAGGTGCGAAACCCGCGAACTTCGTTTGCGCTCGCCTTCTGAACGACTTGTGACAGGTATCTCAGATGACTTCATCACCTCGGCCCGAGTACGAGCAGCCGCCTGAGTACATCAGCCACGGAGCCGCCTACATGGCCGACCCACGCGCGGCCAACACACTGGGACAGGAGTACGGCCAGTTCGTTGACGCCATGGAGACCTTCTACTGCGCCGCCTACGCCATCCAGCCCCAGGACCGACGCCGGTACACAGGAAGAGGCAGGGCGAGGAAGATGACATCCACGAGAGCCACACCACGCACCAGACGCACACACTACAGCAACCAGCAGTCCGACTGGCGGGGACGACTAGCTACCACACTAGGGGCTTACCTCGCATTTCGGCAACGCGGACACGGCGCGGGGCAACGACGCCGTTTGGAGGCCGCAGCACGACAAGTGGTTTATGAAGGTATCCCTATTGGTGGAGTCCGACTCAACCCAACTGCCAACCAGCACCGAGACCTGTGGGCCGACCGACTCCGCCGGCTGCCCAACATCGGATTGGACATACTTCAGGGAATGACAGACCAAGCTCAACGCGAAGTCCAGAAGGCCCTGAAGTTCGACATGCGTGCCAGATCCCGCACTTTCATGATCTGGCTTACCGACGCTACGAAGGCTACCCCAGGTAAGCTACGCAAGATGACCTAGCCACAGCCACGACACGAAGTCGAGTACGTTCACGTCCGAGGCAAGGCCTGCTGTCCTCGGTCCATCATTGACGCCAAGGCCGACGAGTTCAGAGAGCTTTGGCAGCACCCAACGCTCTCGCACCAGGACTACGTAGCCATTATCACCGACGTAAAGGACCACGCCAGCTCAGCTCCAGTCACACGACCTTGGACGACTTGGACTTCTCGCTGCGATGCTCCCCCGACAAGGGCAAGGGCACCGGCAAGATCACAAGCTTGGACCTGCGACGACTCCCGCAGGCGGGGCGACAACAGCTGGTGGACTTGTTCAACAGCTGCGAGCGCGAGCTTGCCTGGCCATTGCAACTACAGAGCACTATAGTTATGCTGCAAACAAAGACGGAAGGCGACAGGGCGCTGGGACTACGACCACAGATATGCAGAGCGTGGGAAAAGCTCACACGGCCAACAGTGGACACATGGATACGCGCTGCAGGGCGGCACTGGGGCGCGGCCACTGGCAGGTAGCAGCTGCGAGAAGCCGCCGCGCGCATCTTGGGCGACGAGATCTGCGACGCACCCCAGCTTGCGCACGCCGCCACTTTGGCAGACATCCGACGGTTCTACGACACGCTGGGCATCCTGCAAGTGGTGTACGCGATCAGGCACATGTGGCTCCCTCCACGAGTGCTGGCACTTGAACTCCAGCTCCACACCTTCGTGCGCCTCCTACGACAAGCATCGACACACGGTGACCCAATCCTACCTTCCCGCTCTCT